ATATCGGGAAATTACTTGAGTTGAGAACCCAAGACCGCCTATTGGTCGGCTACAGCAAGGCCAAAGCATAGGCAAAATATTGACGAGTGCAAAATGCAAGGATGGCGCCGGAGAGATAACGGAAAACCAAAGGATGGATATTTGAATAAGGTTATCGCCAGCCTCCTGGACCACGTCCAGGATCTGAGAGAAACAGCGACTCGTACCGCTGTTTGCCTCTAGGTTATCATCCCAAGATACGTGCCGGACGGGTCATGCTGGGTAAGTTTGCTCACCAAAACGTGGAAGAGCGAAATCACCGACGGACCCTTTCTATTCCTGTTCGTTATTGGCGATTATTTTAGGTAAGAAATGATGAACGGGCGCGGTGTGTCCGAGAGGCGGCGAGTAAAATCCATGGTGGTGGTAAGGTACACTGTCCGGGATCTACGCAAATGAATTGCCGGAGGCATCCTGATCCTGGCATGATGTCACATCACATCCGAGACGATTGGAAGCCCTCGCGGTCCCTGCCGAGGTGCCTGGCCGCCTCCAGCCGGGTCGGGAGTTCGGCATCAGCTGCATACCGGTTGAGGAAAAAAAGCGGGGGTTCACGGACTTGTGCAGACGATTGTTGTGAGCGTAGTTCGGACTCAATTTACAAGCGACAACGAAAAAATTGCCCAACCAGAGCGATTTCCAACCAAGGACCTGAATAACAATTTGAGTACCAGTCGAGTAGTACTCCCGACTCGTTGTTGTTGTTCTTTCTCGTGAATTTTGTTCTGGAAAGTATAAACATGAAGTCATCAAGACGAGTGTGTAGAGATCCACTAGCGATTTTCCGAGCTTCTCGGTTCTATTCTTATTAGGAAGACGGATCGGCATTAATAAACGATATCGTCGCCGAATTCCTGGAACATGTCGAGAGCCGGATGACCGATCCAAAGGATCCAGAGCCCTGAGCCACCGAGACCAGGAGCTTTTGAATGTTGGAGTCCATCGTTCGTAAGCGGTGAGTTGGGACTCACAAAGTGTCAAAAAAAAACGGCGCATCCGTGTGGAGTCGGGCGCTACGCTGAGACCGCGGCTCGTGAAATTATCGGTAGATTAGCGAAATAGCACATCTTCGCCCCGCGTTCAGGTCGGCTGGGACCATTAATTATTGCAAAACAAAATATGGAACATTCAAATAAGCATGCTAAATTCTCATTGTGCACGCACCATAAACCTGGGAAGACTCACTCCTGTTGTGCCGTTGTGGGTGCAAGAGCGTTCGTGGGGAAAGCACCCGTGTTCGTTAAGGTTGCAACCGTGAGAATTCGCATGTTGACCGCGATCAGTTTTCGATTGTGGCGCATTTCTCTCTCTCTCAATTCACTCTGGATCTTTGATTCACTCTCTAGACATTTGGCGTATACCAGCGCAGTCACACCGTCAGGATGCATGTCGCCGAAGCGCCAAGCAGATTGATTCTGCAGATTGCGAATCTTCGGCGACAGAAAAGAAATTGAGGAGGTGCTGCAGCAGTAGTGTACCGCTGGATTGCCCCATATACAGAAGGATCTCTGCTCACGATTTTACCCTTTAGCCGCCCGGTCAACAGTTCTGCTGATCATCTGCTCCTCCGACCCAACCTCCCAAATCAGGCATAATGTATCGCCGGCGTCTCTCTTGTCCAACGGGAACAATCCAGGGATGGGGTACTCAGATCTTCCACGCGCGAAATAAATGAATGGACCACTCGCTCATGTCAAGGTTGCCGCTCGGCACGATTACTTTTTTCCATTCATTCAATTTTTGGAAGCACGCGACCAGACGCGACCCTACGGTACCCATCGGTGCTAGCCATCCGCCAACTTCAAGTATTCATATCGGACCGACATCGCCAGAAATAAAGTTTTTCCTCACAAATGGCTAAACCAGTCAAAGCCGTGATATTTGGCATATACCAAAACGCTCCATTGATGGATGGTTTGTCCCTTCGGACCCGGATTTCAAAGTACCCTAGGCGAAGACACAATCTTCCGTCTTCCTCTTCGTCACGCCTGCTTGTCAGGCGGCCCTCGCCACAGTTATTAACTTACCTCAGGAATTTTACCCTCCATGTTCATTTAACTCAAGTGCAATCGCGGGCGGACGGATCATATTCTCTTTGAATTCTGCGCCCGAAATAATTAGACTTGGGACCCCCGGATCGGCCTCTCGACTTGCACTTACTTCCAATTCTCAACATCTGCCCTTCTCTTCGAGCTTCTAGGTCCCAGGGCAACGCCTCCTGCGTCATGCCTCACCGGCACTGCCTAAAAATCATCTCGATTCGATCCAGTTCGATTCAAGCCCGGTTTTTCAACACTTCCTGCAATATTTCGAAGCAACCCCAAAACTCTCTCTGAGATATGCCACCGTCTCTAGCCAACGGCATGCGACCCCTTTTCAAAGTTCGTTAGAAAGACAAGAATCCAGACCCCTGTCTCATTCCACGGAAGTATGGGCACCGGAACGCCCTGTGAGTCTCCGGTGCACTATACCGCATATATCACGAAATTTGCGGACACGGAAGTAGTGACGAGATTACAGTACGACGTGAACCGATTGACCATTCAAGTCTCTGTTATTCGCCAAAGGAGACTCGGGAGAAACTCAAACCACGCCAAAGCGGTTAGTACACTCCCTTCCTCCCTCCCTCGGAATAATTCGCGTGCACTCCTTACTTTCGACTGATCTGCCGTACTAGTTAAATTTAAAGGCGGACACTTCGAAGGCAGGAAACGTCCAAACGCCGTTAACGATCTACGTCCCCTGCATCTCGGCAACTCCGGTTGGGATGACAATGAACGTTTCTGAGTCCCCTTTCTGACGATAAGAAAAAAAATGATCCAAACGTGCACTTGGGTAAATTCGACAGCAAATGAGTCGAAATTAATCCGGTCCACCGTCCTAAGGGCCTGACGGGTGCTTTCTCGGGATATACATCTGCCGTCAGTATGACCATTTTAGGAAATCAGAGTTCGAAGAAGCAAGGACGGCGGTAGATTCGTTCCTCCAGAAAGTGAAATGCAAAGGCCACGAAGAAAGCGTGGGGATGATGCAGAACAGAAGAGCTACTGTTCTTGAACGGGTGAAATCCCACTTTCTTCTGAACAGACGAGATCTTGCAGTCTCCAGGTTAAAATTAGTCAGTCACTCGGAAGGATGCGTAGAGGGGACGCGCAGGCGAGTTGGATAGTACCACCAAACAAAAGTATTTGAGCGCTGTCTCCATTATTTTTGCGTATTCCCCGCGCCTCGAACGCACCTGTCGGAGTATCCTGGTGGCGATGTGGTTCATTCTCTGAGAGATTTCCACTGCTAATTTCGGACAATGGTTCGACCTTTTTTATATCCTGCAAATCGAACCAAGAGGACTTCCGCGGCGGCGAATACATGGAGAGAAGACCAGGCAAGATAGGGTCCGACAGTATCACGCTCTGCGGGGGTTGCATCATACACTCCACCCCGAAGCAAGCACGACAAGGTAAAGTAAGAAAGCAGGGTGTCGATCGGACGGCGGGGAAGGGATGGAAGGCCATGTGAAGGGCAAATACGCGGCGTAGGCAAAGCAGACAGAGGGTACGAAGATAAAACGAGACCAGAAGACCAGGAATGGAGGAGTGGTCACATGTGAAGAGCAAATACGCAGCGTAGGCAAGGCAGACAGAGGGTACGAAGATAAAACGAGGCCAGAAGACCGGGAATGGAGGAGTGGTGCCCGCCCCACGAGCAGCATAGGCAATCGTCGGCCGATAACGCTGGCCAAGAACGATCCAGGGTGCCGGAACAGATGACAATTAAACGCGAAGGTGCGAGGCTCGCGGGAAACGTCACTGCGAATGCGAGAATGGCCGCTATCCATATGGTGAGCGAAGGGGAAGCTGAGCAGCAGTTAGGCAGCCCTCGCGCGGAAGACGAGGCAGTTGTGCGCGCACGTAAGGGTAGCCGCGGTCTTCCTCGTCTCTATGCATCTCTATTTGAATGGAATGAACCCTCGTACGTCGTTTCTTCATTTCCGAGCCGAGCCAAGCAAAAAAAAGATGTAAGTATCACGATTGTACTTGCTCAGCGCACGAATAGCCGTCCGAAACCAGCGGCAAGCGCCAACGTTAACACTTGCCATTCTTACTTGAAGTTTAGAGGCCTGCTTCGGAAACTCTGCAAAAATCGAAGTCGTGGTTTACTTGGTGGTTTAGCATGAAGAAAGGAACACAGCCACCGGTAAGTTCCGACGCCACTTGTTCAACCAGACTTTTTGGACGTTCAACCACTAGCAAAATGGTTTGTGCACTGGCCAATGTAGATTTTTTAAAATGATTCACAACCCAAACTATTTGGCTGGAGAACCTGGGCGAAGTCACCGCTGATATCAGGTTCAACCATGATTTCAACCACATCAATTTTCCTCCGAATTTTCGTTCAGCTCATTTCAGCGATCCATGAATTGAAGGACCAGCCCAGTAGCACAGGTAGGTAGGTAGGTATATTCCGGCGCGGTCCCGTTAAGAAGTGGTTAGTCTAGTTGCTGAACATACTGAGATTGTGAATGACTATGCAGGAGGTCCCCGTTCGATTCGGGGTTGGGCCATAATTGAGAACAATGCGATTTTTTTTCCTCCTGGCAATTTCTCCCCCACCACCAACACAGCGTGCTGCAAGTCACAGTTCTGAGCAGGAGATGAAGGCTACGCTAACTGAGCCATGGTCATATTCAACTGGAACCACAACTTTTTTCAACCAAACTTGAATTCCCTTCCTCCCACTTCATGTTTTGTGCATCTCAAGCAACCAAGACAAGTGGAGTCAGTGGCTCAATAGCACAATAGTTAGTACATCTACTGAACTTACTACCATCTCGAGGTATTGTGCAGGAGGTTATCGTTGGATTCGAGGTTGGTGTTGTCAATAGCTTACTTTTTTCTCGTCCCTTTCAACGCACAAATTTCCCTTTATCCCTACTTATCCAAAAAGTTGTTTGCTGCCAGCATGACCCAATAGCGCAACTGGTAGTGCACCTGTTAAACTTAGCCAAAATTGAGGACAATTATGCAGGAGATCCTCGTTCGATTCGGGGTTGGGTCGTAATTGATGTAGAAGGGTCTTTTTCCTTTTTTTTCCCTGTTTTTCCCTTCCTTCCCTTCCCTGCAAAGAGTGTCCCCCCTTCCTCTCTCTCTCCCTTTTTCACAGCACTTATTTTCTTTATCTCAACAAACAGCATCTCGACGTCCTCCTTAAGCGCACAAATCATCACTGACAATCAAACGTTAACGTTAACACAACACAAACCAAGTACCACCAAAAACAAAAACAGAGAGCAAGCAAAGCGCAAAACTACACAAACAAGAAAGCAGTAGACAGCCAACCTAAAACCCAGCGAGACAAGTGAAAAAAAACGACAGGGATGGGTACGAGTACTCTAACACGAGTAAGTAACGTTCGCGTACGCGCAGAGTCCGCCTCGAGTATGCTGGAGCACGGGCGCGCACGCAACGCAGCAACAGACAAACAACCGTCGACCAACGAGCAAGTGGGGTGGGAGTGACAACGGACGAACGCGGGTGCGGGTGCGGGTGCGACGTCGGAGTACGCTTGAGCAAGTTGGGGAGGGTGCGGGTGCGACGAATGCGACGAGTGCGAGTGCGAGTGCGGGGGGTACGAAAGAACGACAAAAATAAAACCAAAAACAAAAACAAAACAAGGTAACAAGCAAGAGCAAAATAGCACAAGCAATAGCGATAGTATGTATGGGGTTGTATGTGGTATGTAGGTACGTATGTATGTAGCAGTGTAATAGGGAGAGGAGGTTAGAGTTATAACTTGATAGATAGGGTACGGGGGTGGGGTGGGTGGGTACGGGAGGCGGGCGGGCAGAGACATAAGTACGTTCCTTGGTCGTTCGTTCGTCGGTCGTCGTTCGTCGTCGTCGTTGGGGCGGAGCGGGGGATAAAGCAATAAGGCGATGGCGATAATAACGAAACGGCGGTAATAACGAAAACGCGGGCGGGAGTATAACACGGAGGGAGGCAGCAGAGCAGAGCGCAGAGATAAAAGAAAAGACGTGGTAATGGTATCATATGTACAGGTATTGGGTTGTCGTTGTTTGATTCGCATTGGATTTCGATTTCGATTCGGATTCGGATTTCGGTTTCGGATTCGGTTTCGTGGTGATAAAAAAGATTCTTGCTTGCTTGCATGATACAAGGTTGGCCGGGTATGCCCGGCGGCGGCGGTGAAAGTGGTGAAGGGACGAGCGCGTCCGATACTGGAGGCAAGGGGTCGGGTCGGTCGGTCGACATAACGTCGAGGGAACCGAAGGGAGGACGAGGACGACATAACATCGTCGTCGTCGTCGCCAGGGAGCGAAAAAAACCGCCCCAATGCGCCCCGCCCACCCACCCCACCCCACCCCCACCTCCTACACCCGCCCAACACCGCCCCCCGCATCCCTCACCGCCGACGCGAGCCGCGGATCGCGCGTCCTCGGCGCACTCGGCACGAGCGTGCTACCCGCGTGCGCGGAAGGGAGCGGGAGAGAGTCCATGGGCACGGGCATAGGCACCGCACCCGCCAGCGCCGAAGTCGCCGTACTGGCCAAAACCGTCGTCGCGCCCAATGCAGGAGTGGAAGTCAAAGTCGAGCTCGAGCCGCCTGTAATGCAATGCAAAACCCCACGTCAGCGCTGCCCAACCAAGGGAGGGAAAGAAACGAGCACAGACCTATCAGCAACCCCGCACCCGCACCCGCCGGCATCTCCACGTCCGCGTCCGCGTCCGCGTCGTCGCCCTCGTCTGCGTGGTGCTGATGCTGGTGCGCGGAGGACCCAGAGCCCGACGCGACCGCGTTGCCGCTCCCTCCCGCACTCACGCCTTGCGCAATAGTCGAAGTCGAGGCGGAGGAAGCAACAGCGGCAGTCGACGTCGACTCCTGCAACGCAGCCCCCTCCTCCCCCTCGACCACAACCTTCTTCTTCCTCATCCCCCTCCGACTCTCAGCCGGATACTCGCATTTAAGCGCGCGGCGCTGGCATTGGCTGTGAAAAGAAAGGGGGGTTGTCAGCGATGCGCTCGTGGAGATAAACGAGATAAAGGTAGGTAGGTAGGCAGGTAGGTAGAAGGAAAGGAGGGTCGCGACACAACGATGACAGCAGACAAAGAACGCTAGAAGCGCCAAGCCAAGACGAGACGAGGCATTTACGCTGCGCTCCCCTACCCGCCAACCCGCCCGTCAAAGAATTGACACGGAAGGACGAGGCATTTATGCGTGCCCGCCAGACACACGTAAAACGTCGTCGGGTTCGGCCGCAAAGCCGTAGCCGTAGCCGTAGCCGTAGCCGTAGCCGAAGGAAAGCGCAAAGCCGTAGCCGTCGAAGACCAAAGGGACAGGAGGGAGGGAGGGAGGGAGGGAGGGAGGGAGAAAACGGGTGCAAAAAAAGAAAAATTGGGAGAATACGGCGCAGAAAAAAAACCCCTCGCAAGAGGCGCTGTCAACCCCCCCCCCCCCCCCCACCAAAAAAAAAAAAAAAAAACCAAATCCCAAACGCCCTTCCGCCGAAGCGCCCATTCAGCGCGTCCAGGCAGGCAGGCAGGCAGGCAGGCACCCGAACACGCCCGGACACGCACGCAGGCAAAGGATGACTGTGACCGACCCCGGCCGAGCGCACGCGCACGCGCACGTCATCAAGCAAGCAAGCACCACGTCAAGCGAAAGGAAAAGAGAGCGCGACTCGAAAGCCCGCCTGCCTGCCTAGCGCGCGCGAGCTCCACAAGACAGCCCGACCGCAAGGGTGGGTAGGTGGGTATCTCGCGAGCCAGAGCCAAACCGCGCCAGAGCCAAGTCGTCGCGCGGCCCACGTAAAAACGTCCGTGGTCGTCGTCGTCGTCGTTGCGTTCGGCCATCCATCGCAATGAAACGAAAACGAAACGAACACGAACACGAAACCAAAAAAAAGTGGGGGGGTGGGTGGGTGGGCGCCAAAAATCGAGGTAGGTAGGCCGAGAATGGAAAAATGGGAAATGGAAAAATGGCATCAAATCGGGGGCGCAGAAAACCCCCTGCGCCCCTCCCCCTCCCCCGCTCTTGCGCCGACGCCGACGCCCAAGCCGGAGCGCCTTAGCCTTCGCAACGCAACGCAACGCCAAACCACTGCACCGGCCCAAGGCAAGGCACCGGAAAAACGGGTGACGTTTTGGGGCTGCGCGAAAATGAAAAATGAAAATGAAAATGAAAATGAAATGGGGTTGGCGAGTGCGAATCAAGCGGGGGGGGGGGGAGGCAAGGCGACGTTGGGAGAGGAAGAAATGAAAAGATATAGAAAACGAAAACCCAAAGAAATAATAAAACCACAGAGAGGAAGGAAATCGCAGAGAGGAAGGAAATCGCAGAGGGGAAGGAAGAGGAAGAGGAAGAGGAAGAGAAAGCACTCACCCACACCCCGCCCCCTGTCCGCCCGCCCCACCACCGCCGCCCAGCGCAGGCCCACACGCGATCTTGCGCCCGCGACAAAAGAGGCACGCGAGGGGCGGTTTTTTGGGCGCGTTCCCTGCGTTGGTGTTGTTGCTACCGGTTGTTGAAGAGGTGGAGGTGGACTAGAGAGGGAGGGCGTTAGAATTATCATAGAGGCAAAGAGATGGACGGGATGTAAAGAGAAGCGCACCTTCCCCCGCCCCCTCCCCCGCTTCCCCCCCTTGACGCTTATCCTCCTCCCCAGCCGATCCCGCTGCTCCACCTCCACCCCGGGCTCCCCCCGTTCCCGTTCCCGTTCCCGTTCCGGCGAAGAGGAGTGCGCGACGAAGGCGAAGGCAGAGGACGACGCCGACGCGGCGGACGAATGTCGTCGTTTACCGTTCGCGTTCAGCCTCGCATCTGCGTCTGCGTCTGCATCCCCATCCGCCTCACCCTCCTGCTCAAGGTCAAACTCGCTCTCATCCCCCTCCCCCTCGTCCTCGTCCTGCTCTTCTTCGTCTCCCTCCCCCCCACCCTCTTCATCCTCGTGATTTGCCGTCGGGATGGAAGTACCACCAGCAGCAGCCTCCGCCTCCCTCAACGCAATAACGCTGCTCACCAACGGACTCGCGGGGTAATACCCAATCCTCCGCTTCGCCGCGGGCGGCTTGCGGTCCCTCCTACTCGTGCTACTGCTGCTTCGGTTCGCCGTGGTGCGATCGCGATCACGCGAGTGCGAAAGGGAGTGGCTGCGCGAGTGCGCGTGCGGAAGGGTGGGATTGGGCATGGGATGGCGCTCGGCAGAGTGCGAGTGCGCGCGGTGCGTGAGGGCGGGGTATGCGTGCGCGCCGGCGTGAGGCGGCGGCGGCAGCACGGGGAGCGGGGGGTACGGGTACGCTGTGGGGACGGAGACCTCCTGCGGGAACACCTGCACCTGGACCTGCTGCTCGAGCGGCTGGATAGGATAGCCGACGCCGACGCCGACACCGACGGTGAAGGCGTGGGGGTGCGCGGGCAGGGGCTGCATGTCGAGCGACGCGTGGGGGTACGCGTAGGCAGACGCGGAGCTGGGATCGACTGGGAGCGGGGGGTACAGGGACACGCCGGGCTGGTACGCGATGGGGACGCCGTACTCCTCCTGCGGGTAGTCGAAGGCGCCCCCACGCGTGTCGACGGGGCTGGGCGCGAAGCCGTCGGAGAAGGCACTCGAGGAGACGGCGCTGGGGGGCGGGGTGTCTGCGTCGTAGTAGGAGGCCTGGGAGAGCGGGGGCGTGGAGGCATCGTAGGCAGAGGCGGGCGGGGACGCGGACAGCGGGCTGTCGAGGTGCGGGTGGGCGTGGAGGGCGTTCTGTCCGAGGGCAAGCGCGAGTTGGGGTGGTTGTTGTTGCTGTTGAGACCAGGCGTATTCTTCCGGCGAGCCAGAAGCTGAGACAGAGGAAGCGGAAGGGCGATACGCCCACCCACTAGGATCAGGGTAGGCATACTCGCCGCTGAACGAGGCGGTGTCTACATGTTTGTACTCTTGCACCAACGCCATCTCGGGGGCATAGAGTCTGAGATGTTCCTCCTCGACCTGCTTTGAACGCGGGGACGGACGCGCGTCGGGAAACGTTGCATAGAATAGCTCGTCGTGCTGAGCC